CACGATAAGAAGAACTCCTTTATAATGTCCAGGAAATGGGAGAAGGGTGGCAAAGGGAGTTGAACCACTCTCTGATTTGGTTTGTTATGTGGAAGTGGACATAATTATTATGTGTGGGCCCAGGATGGTGTTGTTGGCAGAAAGGCCATTGGCAGAAAAACCATGCTGTCGGAAAGCCATTTAATAATGGTGGCCACGGTGAACCTGCTTTAGCCATTCTCATGCCATCTATTCTCGTCCGTAATGATGGTGCGAGGTTATTTTGCTTTCCCTCCTGGACCTTCTCCTCTCCCTCATTGGCCTCCTCCTCTTCTTCAATGGTCAGCTCTCCTCCCTCCTCTGACTCGAATTCCTCTTCCCCTGCCTACATCCATTGTGTTTGTTTGGAATCTTCAGCAAACTTTGCAGCCTGAACTTGCTTTTATACATGTGATCACCACGGTAGCAACAAGTGTCTTCCATTTTAGGTCGTTGTGTGTTCGTTGTGTTCAAACATTGAAAACATTGCTCTCTTTCATTTGAAAATATGAGCAGAGTTCTTTTGCCACTTCCGTTTTAGCAAGGAAACGTGTTTAGATTTATAACAGAGGATTGTGTTTTGTGTCTTCATGTGAAATGTGATTATGATATTGGTAAATAATGGGTAGATTTAATAAATGCGTTTAGACAACTGATCATTTGCTTTAGAGGATTGGCTTTTATGTTTTTGCATTTGAGAAAAACTGTAGCATCTGTAACAGTAAGCCCATTTGACAAGTAGCCCATTTTAGACGGGCCATAAGTGTGTCTTTCTCCCACAGTAGACTGCCTTATTGTTATTGGTTGAGTAGAGATCATGTGACCTGCTCTGCGGTTTCTCTGATTGGGTGTTAGGGTTTGAATCTGCTCTTTGTCTGTGTTGAATAGAGTTTTCTCTCAGTGTTTCTCCATTCACATTCACAGCCAGTGATCACAAGCTATTCAGTGCCTCTGACCGACTTCTCCATGGCCTCTTATTTTGACACACTGAACTGGTTTAGATTTAAATCTGGTTTAGATTTAACTGGTTTAGATTAGATAGTTAAATGTGAGTCTTCTAAGTTTAAAAGCATGTTAAGCAGAAGAGCGTAATCTTGGAAACGACAGCCATACTTGGTTGTTGAAAGTACTTAAGTTATTATTTTATTCTGTTTGCAGGAGCTGGGCTCAGTAAAATTAGGTCTCTGATCGCTAGGATGGGTGTTGAGTTCAGTTCAGCAGGAAACAGGCGTCTCTTACCTGCAGAATGCACGGGTTGTCAAGTTTAGAAGATTAGAATATAAATCTCAGGAGATCGAAACATTTGTTGAGTCTAGTTTGCGTCTACCTGAGGTTTGTTTTCTATTTCTGAAAACAAGGAAATGTACTTTTTTCAGCGATCTGTAGTTCTAGAGTGTGATTCAAGATTAGTTTCTCTAATTTTAAGGAGTGGTTGGATTTCTTGAGATCGGTTCATCTGGTTTTTGTTTTAGGGTGTTGGTAAACTGTGAAGGTTTTTCTAATTTTGGGAGCAGCTGGATTAATGAGAATTGAGAATTGTTAGTTGAGCTGCGTTTCGCTTTGGGGTACAGTTGGGTTGAGGTTAGTTTGGTAGGTGGGTTTCTTGGGTAGTAGAGGTTTTCTTTCTCTGTTTTCATTTTCTTTCAAGATTTGTTCACTGGTGGGTTTAGTTTTAGCTTCTTTTTTCCCTCTCCTCTCTGATCTGGAGGTAATGATCAGAGGATCAATATGGATTTGGATTCCATAAATGGATTTAGTTGACCTTGGTTAGATTTTTATGGCAGAATTGTTATGTTACTTTTTATGTCTGTTCTAAAGAGATTGAGATATTTGCATCTGAAAGCTCAAAATTGATTGGTGGTTAGACTTATTTACAAAGTACATGCAAATATCTGAACTTACTCTGTGCGTGCTGGTGTTTGTGTGTGTGTGTGTGTGTGTGTCTTTTCATATATATAAAAAAAAACACCTGCCCTTTTAACATGCCCCAACAGAATAATCATTGTCTCAAATTTCTCCATAATCACAGCATACATTAAAATGTTTATTTTATTTATTTATTTATTGTTGCATTAATTCCAATATTGAGATATGGAGCTGAGGATAAGATGGAGTCCACTGGAGTCCACTTGTGGTTAAATAGTTCAAGTGATTGGGAAAGGCATGTGCCAGTTTAGTAGATTAAAGGCCTCTGCACACCGATCCAAATGGAGATTTGCACTAAACAATACGGATGCAATGACACTCCCTGTCTGAAGAGGGTGCTTGAGATACAACAGAGGCACTCTGTGCCACACGGAAACAGAAAAGAAAAAACGACAAGCAGAAGAAATCAAAGAACTCATAGAAAATATCCTGGAGGTTGAGCGGTTTATTCTGTTGGTGGCTGATCACAGGGAGCTGTTTGTGAAAAATGTGGTGAAAATCTTTCCTGTACGGTCATTATGAAAATGGGAGAAGAGCCAGCTTTAATTGGTCATTCTCTTTCTGAAAAACAGATCTGAAATGACAATTGAAAACTCTTTTTGTTGACACCACCCGTAGTTCAGCCATCACACCTGGGAGTTCAGTTGACCTCACCTTCACCCAATCACTTCACTGAGCCAATCACAGAGCAATACTCTTTCTGCTACTACTCCAACCTGTGTCTATCAATTCCCAGGGCTTTCTCTAGAAACATGCTCATCTGCATAAGTTCCAGTCCTCTCCTGTTACTACATTGTGGGTTCTGTCATTCTCCAGATGCTGCTAGCCTCAATGACTTCCGGGTTCAGAGACTGATACTATGCTGAGTACAGGTTGTTCTAACGTAACGATTTCATTCAGAGCTGTTACCGTGTCAGAGCTCCAGTGTTCTTCTGTGGATTCATCTGCATTCCAACAGTCAATCATGGTGGTGGCAGCATCGTGGTTTGTGGAAGCAGGAAGTGGGATGCAAGTCTTGATTTTGGAGGAATGCAGCCATATACAGGGACGCCCTGGATGAAAACGGTGGTCTTGACCTCACACTTTTTAATTAAGGCCTAAATAGGACCAAAAACTGCATTGCTTTCAATACTTTCCAGATGCACCGTAACAGTTATAAATGGCCTGGTAAGAAATACAAAGGTTTCAATAAATGTTTCATAATTTGAGATTGATTTGGTTGCAAGGATTAGGTTAGTTTTGTTTTCATTGACTTTACAGATGTCTGATTTAGGGACTTCAACACCCTGTGTTCATGGTCAGTGTGTGCCTGCCCCTGCCACACAAACCCTTACCTCATCCAATTGTGATTCAGCCTTTACATATGCAAAGCACTGACCTGCTCACATTTCAGCTTGTGCATCCTGTGAGTGCACCAAATGTTTCTACTACAATAATAATATGAGAAACATTCAACATTCTAAGAAATTCCAATAAAGAAAACTATTTCAGACAGTTTTATGTACAATAACAGTTTATATTGCTTGACTTTGTACAGGGAAGCACTTCAGATACTTTCACGCCAATCAGTAGCCATTATCAATTTGTAGCTCCCACAAATGCATTTGTGTCAACATCTAGGACCTAACTGTGACCTTGACCCACCCGGAATGACTTTCTTTGGATCAAGGTTCTTGGTCGCCTAACCAATTTGAATGAATAGCAGTACAGTGACTGGAGCATTGCAAACCTTGACATACACAAACTTGCTTGGGAGTGTAAATAAAGCTTTTGGGTTGCCATTTTCTTAATCCATTGCCGAGCTGCATCCATACTCGCCATTCTCAATTCACTTCCAAACTTAGTTGTAGTCACTTAAAAGAATAAAATGAAAAATGCACTGGGAACATCATCGACTTATTTCAGAGAAAGGTAATTACTGTTTTCTCATACGCATTCGTATTACACACAAAAAAAATCACCAATCAAGTATTGGAGCCTACATTTTTCAACCCATCGCTCAGTCAGTATAAGTTTTGGGCTAGGTTTGGCATTTGTAGCTCACATCCAGTCACCTACCTGTTCTTAAAAGACCACCCAGGTTGTGTGATTCTCCTTTACTACCTGGACATTTACCTGCTCTCCTCTGAATCTCTGCAACTCTACCAGCTTACCTTGTCTTACTCCTCTGTCATCTCTGGTGTTTCCTCAAATTAATCTACATCTTTACTCTGTGTTCGACTGTGTCCGTGCTTCTTCTCGAAAACGCTCCAGACTTAAATTGAAGTTTCAAAAAGAGAGGCAATGTTTTTGCGTGCTTGTGAAATCTCACTTGGTCATTTGTGAAGTAATTTGGATAACTCAACCGATTTGGACTTACACACTGTAAGGGAAAGTATTCCAGTCCTTTACAAAGCAAGGGAGGAGGCATAAGCGCAAAGGTGAAATATTTATTGTAGCTTTCAGCAGTTTCATAAACATCTCAGGAGAGACTTTTCTTTGAAGATTTTCTTCAGAAGCATTTAGATTTCCAGTATAATGTTCTTTTTCTTGAGCTGCAATAGCTATCAATGTCCTAACCCTATTTCTAGTCATGAGGCAATTTCTAACCCTAACCAAAGCTTTCATCTAGAATACAATTTTACATGACCCTATCAACTGACCCTTTAGTCCCCGAAAGCAAAGTGTTTCCATCACCATGTTTTATTTGGGGATGGTGTTCACTAGCAGCATCCCTCCTCTAAATACAGTGTTTTAAGCTGGTCCTAAAATGTGGATTTTGGTTTCTGCTTTCAATCATTCAGATATTCACAGGAAAACTTGATATTGTCATGTGCATGTAGTTTCTTCGGCAGGATAACTTTGTGGACTTGATAGGATTTCAATCCTTTGTCATAAACTAAGGATAAAATCCTTGGTAAGAAGCAGGCAGCCTATGTTTCAAGGCAATGGGTCAATAAAATCAGATTCAATCAATGCTCAGCATGGAATCAGAATCTCTATACATTTACATCTGGCAGACGCTTTTATCCAAAGCAACTTACATTTGAAAGAATGAACACATATTTGTCAGTTCATGCTTTCCCTGGGATTTGAACCCACAACCTTTGCCTTTTTAGTGCCATGCTCTATCAACTGAGCCACAGGAAATCTCTCATTCTGAGCAGGGGCTGAAGATGTGTGTGATGGACCATGGTGGCAATTGGCATGACGGGTAGCAGGAATGGGCAAAGTCATTGGTGTCCCTCCTGGTTGTTGTTCCAGCCCTGTTTAGTACAAACCCTGGCAGCTTTGAACAAACCAAGGAGAGCTTACCTAGTAGAATCAGGTGTGTTTCATGAAGGTTGCAACAAAACTGTGCGGGGTTGCGGCCCTCCTTGCCCACTTCTGGTCTACAGATACCCAAGTGGGACTCCATTCGACATTGAAGTCAAAAGGGATCCCCACATCTGAATGGGTTCAGAGGTGTGGGTACCTGAACTGATGATGCCCTCACTGGATTCCTCACTAGAACCAGAGGGGAAAAGTCCACAAGCTCAGGTTCTAGGTTTTTGGTCTCTCTCCTACCTAATTGCCACCTCGATAAGGGTGTAGAGTGACTCTGGAAATTTCTCTGAAGAGAGAGTCCTTTACCTCCCCAGACAAACCATCCAGAAAACATGCAAACCATCCTGTCTCGTGGCAGCCACTCCTAGATGCCAGGGTGCAGGACTCATTTAAATAATCTGCCACGATGAGAGTCTCTTCTGCATCTCAGCACAGAAGTCAAGGTAACTGGAACAACAGGGATCTTGGGATTCCCAAACAGCGGTACCCCAGCTGATTGCTGTTCCGACCAAGAGAGAACAAAGTCAACACGGGTAATGTCCTCAGCATATTTGGACGAGCTGACGGGAGAAAAGGGTGAGGACTCCGCTCAATAAGTTGGTGGATTATTCATTCGAGGCTTGGCGACTGTGTGGGTGACCGGTTCTGCAGGCTGGACGCAAGCTGGCTTGAGAGCTTTGTAAAAATGTCTCTCCAACTCAAAACTAAAAGAAATCTGCAACAAAAATTCAGCACAGGCATGTCAACACTAATTATAACTCACACTAACGTTAATTAAACTAAGGAATAACACAGATGGCTTCTGCTAGAGAGGCATATCATAATCATAATTGAACATAGACCCATGAGCAGACGTGAACAACAAGGTTCATGAACAAAGAACCTGAAGTGGACAGATGAACCCGAATTTAAAGGGGAGACGAAACTAGGGACAGCTGATGAGAGATCAGGGAGCAGAACACAGTCATTATGATTTTAAGCTCATACACAAGACAGAAGGTAAACAAAGAAAGAGAGCACGTGGCCAGACAATACAAACACAAAAAGGTGCAGGCTGAGCAAACCAAAAGAGATGGCGACTGGCACTGACACGCGCAGAAGGCACAAAAGACAACACGAGAGAGATGTACAGGAACAGTAAGAAAAAGGACACAGATGAAAGAGCAAGGTGCAAAAAGATCATTGCAAAAGAAGCAAAAGCTCTGTCTACATGAACAATATTAGAGAGGTGAAGGGAAAATGTGGTAGAAAAAAACATACAAGCAGTAGTTGTAACCACACCTTGGATAAGATTGTGAAACAAAACACATACTGTTAGAGAGACCCACAAAGAGTGGACTGCAGCAGGATTTCGTGCTTCAAGAACCACCACACAGACGTATGCAATACATGTATAAACCCACAGAATTTTGCCTGGGATAGAGGACAAAGAGACTGGCCCAAACTCAATGGAGATCAAGCTGTGTCTCAATCACTGTACGAAGGCCGTCTCATTTCTCCAAAACTAGAGGGGTCCAGTGAAGGGTTCCATCCTTGTGGCCTTAGATATCCCAAAACGCTTATTAATTACATTTTTTCAACAGAATCACTTGAATTTCACGAGCAAATACACTTGAATTTGTATTGTAATGTAAGTAACAGGTTTTTAAAGAACAGGATTCAATGAATTCTTTAAATGCTGGTCATTTTTATTTTTAAAATATGACTGTGAAAACAGTAACAAACGTATCCAACTACTAAATCTTGGTGCACGTCATTATGTTATGAAAAGCAAAAAGAGTTTAAGTTTACTGGTTTAAATTACATTCATTCATTAATTTTCCAACCCGCTTATTCCCTTTTGGGGTCACAGGTGCCTATCTCCAGCTCACATTGGACGAGAGGCGGGGGTACGCCCAGGACAGGTCGCCAGTCTACCTACCCATTGCGCCACCGTGCCGCCAGTTTAAATTACACACAACATAAAATAGGAAATCACACTGAGAAATGTAACCAATGCAACCCAACGCAAGGGTAGGTACACTCTGGAAACACACATTTATTCACACGTCTACACCTAAGGGGAATTTAGTTAGTTCAATTACCCTGACACGTGTTTCAGATTGCTGGGGAAACTGAAGTACCCTTCCAGGAACCTGATAGTAGTCAGAAAGTTGAATTTCAACACAACCGGAGATTTGAAAATTGTCAAACACTTTTGAAACCTTTAGTCTAAATCCAGGTGGCACAGTGGGTAGAACTGTGGCCTTCCAGTTACGGGTTCAAGGTTGGAATTTGTCAAAAAAACACTCTTTTTGCAAATACATTAATGTATCTGTACAAAAACTGGCATGTCTCATTGCCTTGATATTGGTCAGAAAGTTGAATTCACCACCACCTCATAGGAGAATTTCAAATAGTGAAAAACTTTTGAAACCTTTAGTCTACAATCCAGGCAGCACGATGGCACAGTGGGTAGCACTGTGGCCTTCCAGTTAGGAGGTTGCTGGTTTGAGCTCAACCTTCCTGGTATGCGTTGCATGTTCTCACTGTGCTTGTGTGGGTTTCCTCTGGGTACTCCAGTTTCCCTTACCAGTTATAGGTTAATTGAATGTGTGAATGTATTAGACTGGCGACCTGTTCAGGGTATACCACCACCTCGCGCCTGGAGTGAGCTTGAGCACCAGCAGGCCCCCTGATACTGAAAAGCAACAAACATGTAAGAAGATGAATGATGAGCTTTACCTTATGTTGACTGTAGTAATTTAAAATGGTTCCTCGCAATGGTCACTGTTTATAAATGTGTCACTCTTTATAATCTACTTTGAATTCAGTCAAGTCTTAAAATATCTTCTGGTTGCATTTCTGCCCTTGTTCTTTTTTTCTGAAGAGTCAGGATCAAATTAATGTTCGTAATTAAAAAGAGTCAGGCCTTAAGAGTGAGAAACTGACATTTAGAATAAATCCTTCAACTGAACAGGTATACAAATAATTTTCTTTGAGAGAGAGAGGGAGAGAGAGAGAGAGAGAGAGTAGACAGGTGCTTCTCCTCCAGAGGTTTTCCCTCCACTCTGTCCACTGATGACAATTGCAAGGGAGCAGCAACAGCATCTCTCTCTCTCTCTCTCTCTCTCTCTCTCTCCCTCTCCCTTTATCCCCTCCTCCTCCCCCATCTGCTCTGAGCGTAAATCCTCTGTTCACTGCTGCTCTTCATTCGCGCTGTTTTCTCGGTATTTCTGTTCTGTTTCGCCGATATCTCCATCTGCAGCTCTCACATCGGACGCTTTCACGCATCTGCGGGATCCCTGTGAACAGTTGTGTTGTTTGATCGTGTGATCGAAGAGGACTCGTCGGACCTCGGCGGACGATTGATATCCAGGCGAGTGCGTTTCTTTTTCTCCGCCTGCGAGTGTGTGTATGTGATCTGGCAGAGATTTGCGGCTTAGCAAACATCAGAAGCTGTTCTGCGCTAGCTGACCGTTAATGTTGTGCTAACGTTGCGGTAGCGTTGCGCTAATGCTGTGAGATGTTACAAGCTGTGTTAGCAGAAGCTAAGGCTGCTTTAAAATTCACAACTGGAGCAGACGTGATTTATGAAGCGTTTTAGCTTAAATTGGAATAAAAAGCAAATACTGGCTTGAGAATGGTGGTTATTTTTCATGGAAATGTGTGTGGCTGCACCTGCGCTCGTTAGTGTACCGTGCTAGCGGTTTACGTTACATCCATTGTTTATTTTGATGAAAACTCTTAGAAATATCAATATATTTGGTCACAGACGCCATTAATTTTACCAGTTCTGTTTCAATTGACAATAGTGATGGATTGTATGTTTTAGCTGTCACATATTATTCTGTTTTTTATCATTCGTGTATCGTTTAAAGTGCTATTGTTTTCATTTTGCGTTTCTCATAATATGAATTATAGCCGGTTACAAACGAACACGGATCAAACCAACGGAAATATTATCTTTAGCCTACATTTCCCATGTCCCAAATTCAGTTAAAGTGAATTCAGATCAAACGAGAAATATTTTTCTTGATAATGTGAAACGAGCCTCGGTATAAACCGTTCAAAACCTCATGTTTGTACTGATACACAGTGAAAAAAATAATAAATAAAAAACCTGGACGAAATCTGCAGTATGAGCTGATTTCTGCAGCTTTTCGTGTACTTTGTGCTCTGGGCAACAGGGGGAGCTGCACAGATTAGAGTCTTGATGGCATTTGTTGTTCATCCATGGAAAATGTGGAGTTCTTGAGATGTGTAGACCTAAGATTTTTTTCTGGCTCTGTTGCTAAATTCTAAGTTATTTGTGATGTTTGTAGTTCACATCTTAAGGTGGGCTACTGCACCCGAAGACCACACCGGGTGCCACTCCTGTCTGAAAAAATGAGAAAGAGCTTTATTGCCAAGTAGGTTTGAACTTACAAGGAATTTGTTTTGGTGACAGAAGCTACCAGTTGCACATTTCTAATCGAGAAAAAATAGGAAATCAATAAGAATAAAAAAATAAACATTTAACACGAGAAATAAATAGATACAAATAAATAGATGAGTGATATTGCACAGAAGATGAGATGAGATGTCAGTGCCACTACAATCACATTCAGATGGTCAGAATGTGGCATCAACAACATGAAAGCATGGATCCATCCTGCCTTTTATCAACTGTTAAGCCTGGTGGTGGTGGTGTAATGGTGTGGGTGTATTTTCTAGGCACAATTTTGACCCAGTAGTTCCAAATCCTGAACATCACTTCAATACCACAGCCCCATATATGAATTTGTATGTACAGGGTGTGTGTAAAATAGCTTCACTGTGGGGTTGCAGTCATTAATTATTTTGG